TTAGTGAGACCCTGTAGACCCTGTACTAAATACATAAAAAATAAATAAATGAACAACCAAGATTACTCGACAAAAAAACCCTCAAACGGTAAATTAATTAAATGTTTTACATTGGCAATGAGTCTGTTGGGGAATCTTGTCATTAAGGTGTATGTAATTTGTTTATATTCATGTTTTTATCATGTTAAAAAAAATTGAGGGCCAGCGAGATAGCTCAGCAGACTAAGCGCCTGCTTTGGCAAATTCAGGGACCAGAGTTTGATACCTGGTCCCACATGCCATGCCAGCCCTGGCCCCGGGGCATGCTGTGACCGAGTCTGGGTGTGGTGGTGAGCACCTATAATCCCCGTGCTGGGGAGGCTGGAAACCAGAGGATCACTAGGAGGCCAAGCTGTGTAGTGAGACCCTGTACCAAATACAGGAAGATGAAAAAAAAAAAAAAAAAAGTTACATTTAAAAAAAAATGTTTTTTAATGTACTCAGTACGCAGGGTCTCACTATGTAGACTGTGCTCACAGTGATCCTGTTTTCAGCCCCCCAAGCACGGGGGCTGCAGCTGTGTGCCACCACACTGTCGCATACACTGTCTCAACATGCCCTGCCACGGCAGGCTGGGGAAAGGGTCCCTGGACCCTGCTTCTGCCTCAGCGGGCGCTTTAATCCGCTGAGCTATTTGGCCAGCGCTTACATATTAGATGTAACATTCAGCTAGAAAATTTGTACCTGTACATGAAATAGCTTGCTTTTTCTTGCTTGTTTTCCGCATGCGCGTAATTAAGAATTCAGCCGGTTGGCCGGGGAGATGGCTCAGTGGAATGATCGCTTTCCTGGCAAGTGCAAGGGCCTGAGTTCAATCCCCGGTTCCACAAAAAAAAAGAATTCAGCTGGTTTTTTCCTAGCCAGAGCGCACTTGCTGTCGTAGTAGTAAAATGCTATTGTGGATTATTTGCATAAATCCTCATTCTACCACCGTAACCACCTCCAGCTGGTCCCTGGACTCCAACTGGGAAGTTGTGTTTCTAAGGATTCTGGAAGAACAAGTTATTCACAACAGCATTACCTGTTACGAATATTCTAGTTAGTGCAGCTTTTCAGTGTGTTGTGGTGGACCTTGTTATTAGTTTTTTCCTCCTCTACTGAAAGGAAACTGACAAGTTGTTTATAGGAATGATAAAAGAAGCCTTTATTAACTCCAAATACACGAAGAGGATCAAGGGCAGATGTGTCAGGTAGATCCTCCTGCCGGAGACAAAGAAAGCTGAGGCTTTTCTGGACTTTTTTAGGGGTGGAGTTTGAGGGGAGATGTTTAGAGGTATTTAAGGAGCTGACTGGGGCCTTCCCTGAGGCGTTGGGAAAGATGAAAGGAAACTGTACCCTGGGCTGGGTTGGAGAAGAAGCGGGGAGGTGGTCTCTGGGACGATAAACTGTTGTTATAAGGGCTTCAACCATATTAGATGACCACCGTAATAATTCAGTTCATACTAGGGCCAGAATCCATCGTTCCCATCTTTTGGTTGTTATGAAAGGAGCAACATGTCTCTTAGACTGCTTCCTGCTGAACAAGGGCGTCATCTTGCGGACAAGGGGAGTTGACAGGATGACGGTTCGTGTTAGTGCCAGGTGTCTCAGCTAGGACAAAGTTTATCATTAATGAAGGCTCACATCAGAGACTGAAGAAGCTTTGAAAAAAGTTTTAAAAGACAACGTGTTATGAGTACATGTGTCATCATGAGTAAAGGACAGAGGAGGGGAAGTAAGGGGGGGGGGTCCATGATCTGAATGTGTCATTTTACCATGACCATGTTGAAGGGAAGGAGTATCGATTTTTTACTTCCTGACACCAGTGTGAGGAAAGGGAGTCAGGGTCATCTGCAGGACCTCAACACAGCTGTACTGAGGGACCTTGTCAGAGGTAGGGAATAATGTGTTGGGATAGAGAGGGCTACAGGTGGAAATAGTACTGGAAGGGTCCTCTGTGAACATGAGGTGGATCTGTTGTATACGAGGAGTCATTAGGGCTGGAAGTGTCTCACGTGTGATGAGCTCACTAAGGCGACGGGGTGAGTGGGCTCTGACAGATTGTCTTAAAGTGAGCCACTTCCCCTCTTGTGTTAGTGTAGCTGGCGCTGTGAGAGCACAGAGGCATGGAGTCCATCCTCAAACTGCTGTCTTGTTGTTTTAGAAAGGTAGCTACTGCCTGAAAGGGTGGTCTCTTTTTATGTCATAAAACACCTACTGCATTGTGACTCTGAGAAGTAAAGAGGGTAAAAGTCTGAATTGAGTTGGGTAAGTGAGGACCCTTGGGACAGCCTGTTGGAGCTTGTGAGGAGGAATCAATAGGAGGAGCAGGGGCAAGGGGCTCTAACAAGGAACCTTCTGATGGTTTATAGAGAGGCTGCACTAGGGAAGCAAAGTTGGGAACCCAGAGGCAAAAGAAATTAGACCAAGGAAGGAGAGAACTTACTGTTTTGTGGTGGGTACCTGAAGGTCACAAAGGAGGGCTTTGCAAATAGCAGTAATTGCATGAGTAGTGGGAGTGAGGGCGAATCCTAGATATTTTACTTTTGGCGAGGTTATCTGAGCTTTGGTGGGAGAGACCCTATAACTTTGTTGTGATAGAAAATTGGGAAGAGTCGCTGTGTGTTGTAGGGCTAGGGAATGGGAGGAGGGATAGAGGCAGAGTCCAATTTGACTTCTTACTGAAGGAGTAAGGCAGGGCTTGAGATCAAGGGTCTCAGGGTCAGTAGCAAGAGCTTGGCTAAAGAAGTGAGGACTATCTCTGAACTTTTGAGGCAGGACTGTCCATGTGAGCCACTGAGATCAGAGAGTGTCTGGATCAGTCCATGTGAAGGTAAAGAGGTCCTGGCAGTCTGGGTGTAAGGGAATGGTAAAGAAGGCATCTTTAAGGTCTAGGACAGTAAAGTGAGTAGTGAAAGGAGGGATATAAGAGAGCATGGTGTAGGGGTTTGGCACTATTGGGTGAATAGGCGTAACCACATTATTAATAACCCTGAGATCTTGAACTAAATGATAGGAGCCATTAAATTTGAGGACAGGAAGAATGGGGGTTTTATAAGGAAACTGGGCAGTTCTTACCAGAAAACCATTGGTAAGGAGGTGGCAAATGATGGGCTTGAGTCTCCTCTGATGTTTGGGGGCTATTGGGTATTGGGAAATGTAGAGAAAGGCTAGGGGATCCCTAAGGCACACTAGTATAGGAATAGCATGTGTGGCACGTGTGGGACTGGAAGTGTCTCAGAGTATGTGGTCAACAAGGGAAGAGGGAAGGAGGAGCTGGCTTCACATTGAGGCTAGGTTTATCGGATGAGCACTGTGGGAAGAGTGAGGTGAGAGAGAAGTAGAGCTTTTAGAGGAGATCTCTACCTATGAGAGATATGGTACAGGGTGGGATCACAAGGAAACTATGAATGAAAAACTGTCTGGAGTCAGCAGGGAATGGGCCTATCTAAATGGGTCATGTAGGTTAGCCATCAACACCCATTATAGAGACTGTAGATCTAATACAGTGACTTTAGAACTCAGAAAGAACACTATATGTGGTCTCTGTGTCAGCAAGAAGTGTTTTGTTGTTGTTGTTTTTGTTTTTACCAGAGATGTCTAGCAAGACTTGAGACTAATAGAGATACCTCGATGTGGGACATGGACTCCAATGTCTGTTGTTCCTCTTCAGCAGCAAGACCAAAGCAGGTAAAATATTGATGGATCTGATGTAGTGAGTTCTCTTATGAGGGCAGGGCAGTTGAATTTTCAGTGACCCTCGAGCTTATAGATGGAGCCTGGTCCCAGTGGTGGCTGCAAGTTGGGGTAGTCTTGTGCCCGGCTCCTTTGTGGCATTTAGCATGAACTGCTTGGGGGAGCAGCACACTTCTCTGCCTTTTGGAGCTCTGCCAGTTAAGATGGTGTTGACTTTTGTCTTATCTGATTATTGTCCTGGGCAGAGACAGCCTTCCATATGATTTTAAAATTTGTATCATTAAGTTTTTAGGTCAATTATATAGGCTAAGTTTACAAATAAACTTGTTTATTAAAACAACAGGCAGAGCCCAGCAGCCGGAGTTTGATTCCTGGCTTGCCTTGCTGGCCCTGCCCATGGGGCATGCTGAGACTGTGAATGAGACTGGGCATGGTGGCGAGCGCCTGTAATCCCAGCACGTGGGATGCTGTGAACAGGAGAATCACTACGATTTTGGTCTACGTAGTGAGACCCTGAACGTCCTGTAGACCCTGCCTTAAAGAAAGAGGAAAAAAAAAAAAAAAACACCCAAAAAATCCAAACCCTTTTCAGGTGGGGACCTTCCTGGCCACCTCATTCAGGGCCGAGGGAGCAAACTCTGTAGATCCCTGTCCTCCTTCCTGCTGCCACCCACAGGCACTTGGAGCTCTGCTCTAGGAGGGGATGCTGTTACACTCTTCCCTCTGGGACTGGCTGACCAGTCCTCCATAGGAGCAGGAACCCTGGGATCTGGTGGCAGAGTGGGTCCACCTTTCCCCTTGTCAGCTTCTCAGGGATATGAAGGCAAGAGGACCCTAGACCCTTAATTCTCCCAAATCTTAAAACTTATTTTACCTGTTTGCAACTCAGACCCAGGCCCCTACCACACCTGGTGCGTGGAGAAGCAGAGGCAGACCCGGGGGGCAGTGTTTCTAGAGGCCCTGTAGTCAGGGAGGAAAATGGGGTGGAACACACACAAGCCCAATAAACACCAATGATGGGGCTCTCCAAGACAAGCCCCCCACCCCCAAGAAGAAAGACAAGGTTTGGACGCTGGGCCCTACAGCCAGGCAGAAGTGCAGGGGCCTGTGGCTCAGAGGAAAAGCAGCTCCACACAAATCCAGGAGACTAGGGGCTGGGGAGATAGCTCAGTAGAATAAGCACTTGCCTGGCAATCGCAAGGGCCTGAGTTCAATCCCCGGTTCCGCCAAACAAATAAAAAACAAATCCAGGAGACTACAGGCCAAATCATAAAGACACTGCCAGGTTGGCTTCAGCATTATTTATTATAAAACAATGAAAATCAATGTATGAAAGACCTCTGACAGCCCTGGGTATAACTGCCATAGCCTGCGCCACTCAAAGGCCCCCCTCAGGTGCTTTGGGTATGGAAGTTTTCAGATTCGAAGGTTTCCAGCCAGAAGGGCACTGTACCGGGCAGGGGTGAGGGGCAGGTAGGCATTTTCTGTCTGGTCCAGGATGTAGAGCGGGTCACACAGTGTGCTCGGGTCAAAGCCTTCACTGGCCATCCGAATCTTCTGCTGTTTGAAGGTTTCAGTGGTGGCCAAGGACTCCTGGGAGAGGGAGGTGGTCAAGGGGAGTTGAAGGAAAAGAGCTTCTATCAGTCAGTTCAGGGGAGGCTGAGTTGCTTACATTTTTCTCAGGGGCAAATCTGGGGTCAGGGGGCATTGGAGAGGCCAAGGGGAGATGGTGGCAGGGAAGAGAAGGTGCCAGGTCAGAAGAAGGAAGACGAGTCTGGGGAGAACTATTCTTTCTCTCACAGGACACATGGGCTCAAGGCCTTGAGGCTGGTTACCTGGAGCCGCAGGAACCGAGGCCAGGCATAAGGTGGCAAGTTCTCACACATGTGGGTGTACAGCTGCCTGAGATCCAAAGTGTGGGGAGGGCGCAGAACCAGGCCTGCCATTCCAGCCCTGCCTTCATGTCCTGGAGGGTGCAGGTGCAGCGTGAGCCACCCTGGCTGCCACCAAGAAGGCCTCATGCTGCTTGTACCCCAACATTACCAACCGGGGTGGTGGGTTGGATGCCCCCACCCCCCTTCCACACCTAGCCACCTGGCACAGTGACTCCGTAGATGTTCACCTCCTGAATAAAATCCAGGGCCTCAAAGACCTCCGCCACCTCAGTTGTGGCCACGTTTTCCCCCTTCCACCTGTCAAGACAGCAGAGACCTGAAACTAGGAGCCAAAGACCGAGGGTGGGGAACTTGGTGTGGAGAGCAGGTCAGAGGCCAGGATCAAACATGTGAGAGGGTCTGAGCATGAGAATCTGGCTGAGGACCAGGGACGTCTGACCAGGTGGGAATTGAAGTGTTTGAGGTTTGGGTCACAGAGAAAGAATCAGAAAGTTAGGGGGAAATACCTGAAGGTGTCCCCAGTCCGATCATGAAAGCGAAGAAAGCCTTGGTCATCGCACACCAGCAGGTCCCCCGTATTGAAGAACGTATCCCCAGGCCGGAAGACGTCGTGAAGCAGCTTTCCCTGGGCCAGCTCTGGGCCACCCGCATAGCCCAGGAATGGGGACTGCAAGCTCACTGGGGCCACCAGCAGCCCAGGCTCACCTAGCAGAGTCCCTGGGGTCAGGACAGGGTGCCCACTGCACCCCTGCCCTCCCAGACCCCACCCCATTGAATTTTGTAGTTTGAACTCTCCTTTGCCAGCTCTGCCAGCCCCACTCACTGCGCTGGGCACAAACCTGGAGCAGTGGTCACACAGTGCCCTTGGGCATCCCGAACTGGCTCCCCAGAGGTGACATCATAGCGAATCAGAGAGAAGGGGAAGAGGTGCTGGGGGAAGTGAGAGCCCCTGCTGGGTCATTTTGGCTGCCTGGATGCACCCCCACCAGCACCCCTGCTCCCCATGTTGTTTCCTCTCTGCCCCTCACCTTGTACAGCCAGGATGCACGCCCCACGGCCCCCAGCTGTCCAGTGTAGTTGAAAGTGGCCACGTTGCCCTCAGTCAGGCCATAGGTCTCTAACACCTGCAGGGGTCCAAAGCGCCGGACGAAACGCTGCCAGGTATCTGGGCGCAGCCCACTGCCCACTGCTAGTCGGATCTTATGGCTGCGCTCTGCCTTGTTCTGTGCAGGAGGGAGGGTGCAGCACAAGGCGGCCAGTTGCCCAGTGCAAAGCTGCATTCTCCACTCCCCAGAAAGGCCCCATGCACCCGCCTGTGCCAGGTGTCTGTCACTATTCCCAGACAATGGACCACATCCCCCATGGCCCCCTGACCTAGTCCTACATCAGTGACTACCCACGCACCGGAGGCTGGTTGACAAGATACCGGCACAGCTCCCCGATGTACTGGAACACTGTCACCCTGTGCTGCTGGCAATCCTCCCAGAACTGGCCAGCAGAGAACTTGGACTTCAGCACCACTGTGGCCCCTGCCAGAAGGGGACAGGAAGGTAAGATCAGGCACACAACCCACTGGCCTTCGCTGGCAAGGACCTGCTGGAGAATCACCCCTGCTAAGGCCACAGTGGCCCTCCTCCCCACCTGTGCCTTGACAGGCTGATGCCCCTTCCCTGTGTTCCATCCCTGAATACTCCATCCCTTTGGCCTCATCCTCAAGTTCCCGCTTTTCTCCATGTAGCCTGCACTTGCCGCTTCCAGGAATGATACCACCCTCCCTTCACTTTGGAGTTCTCTGGTTGCCTGGGTAATGTTCTCAGCTGTGCCAGAAGCTCCTAGAGAGCAGCCCTGCTCCCCCTTCTGCACTCTCCACCCCTAGGGAGACACCCTCTGCTGGAGGACTTGAGGCGTGCTGGGGAGACTGACCAATGCCCAAGCAGCCCACGATGCCCAACAGGGAGCCGGACATGTGGTAGAGGGGGAGGGGGAGGTAGATGACGTCTTCCTGGTGGACACCACACAGCTGGTAGAAGCCCTGGCATTGCAGGACCTTCAGATGACTGATCCGGGCAGCCTTGGGGAGGCCTGCGGGGTGGTGGGAAGGGGTCAGGGGAAGAGACTGAGAAGGGCAGAGGTCAGGCTGCTCTAGGAAGGGGGTAGGCAGTTGGGGATGGAGGAGAAATGGAGACTTGTGTCCTTGCGATGGGCACCCTCTCTGGGGTGAAGGGGCGGCCTGGGAGCTGTCAGCCCTCACCAGTGGTGCCAGAGGTAAAGATGTACAGGCACGTGTCCGTCATGCTGCCAGGGGCGGAGAGGTGGCCCGGCACCGGCTCATCCACTTCAGCTGCCACCTCTGCCAGCACATCGTGGATTCCAGCAACGTGGGTTTCAAGGCCTACAGCCCACAGGTGCAGCCCCAAGGCTCTCAGGGCTGGCAGGTCAGGCTCCAGGGATTCCAGGAACTCTGACAAGGTCAGAAAAGCACAGCTCCGCGGCTCTGCTGCTAGCCAGAAGCCCCCCTCGCCCCTGGCCTGCTCATGGTTTCCTGCGACGGCGACAGGCGATATCGCAGGTCGAGGAATCCTTGGGAAACCAGGCTTAGCACCACGCCATCGCTAGCCCAGGGATTCCTACCCTACCCACTGCTGAGTGGCCCGGGAGACAGTTCGGGCCACCCGGCCACAGCTAGGACTTACCTGGCGCCAGCACGAGCGCGCGCGCGCCGCAGCTGCGCAGGCAGTGGAGCAGGGGGCCCCGGCGCAGGGCGGTGGGCACAAAGGCCGTGCGCAGGCCGGCCTTGGCCAGCCCGAACCAGAGCCACAGGAATTCCGGGCTGGAGGGCAGGAGCAGTGCCACTGTCGCCCCAGGTGCCAGCGGGGCCGCGGCCGTGCCTCTGGTCGCCCCATCCTCTCCACACTCTGCAGGCGCCGCGTCCCCGGCGCCCAGCGAAGCCCGCTCGTCGGCCCCAGCGCGTCCCGCGCCCCCGCCGCCGCTCCCCGCACGCCAGCCCCGCGCACGCAGGAAGGCGCGCGCCGCGCGGTTACTGGTGCGCTCCGCCTCCGCGTAGCTGAAGCGCCGCGCGCCATGGATGAGGAAGGTGTGCGTGGGACGCTGCCGGGCCAGCTGTGCGAGGCGCCAGGCCAGGCTGCAGCCGCCCTCGGGACCCTCCGGGTCGGCGGCGGCCGCCGCCAGCGCGCTGGCTCGCAGAGCCCTTTTGCAACGCACGGCGCGCACCGCGAAGGCGACGTCTGCCGCGACCCAGCGCAGCTGCGGCCAGAGGCGCAGCCTCAGCAGCAGCAAGGGCAGCAGCAAGAGCGTGGACAAGAGGAGGAGGGCAGCCATCGCGCCGCCTGCCCCTCCCCGCACCCCCAGCCCGGGCGCCTGTCCCGGCTCTGCGGACACTGCAGTCTCTTCGGAAAAGTCGGCCCCTCCCTCTCGCCCGGAGACCTCTGCCGCCCGGGAGCAAGCGGCGGACCCCACCCCTAGGAGCGGGGAGGGGGCGGAAGGCGGAGGGGTCGGCCAGGCCTCCCGCCCTCCGCACCCGCGCCCCGCCCTCTCCCTCCCCAACGCGACGGGCCCGGGTCAAGTTTTGGGCGGTGCCGGCGCCTGCCTTATATCCCCCCCTCCTCTCTCGGCCCACACCGACTTTGCAAGTTCTCTGGCGGCTCAGGCTCCTAGCCTGTGAGCCCGGGCCTTGGACTCGGGCGCAGCTCTCCTTCAGTTGCTGTCATTCTCAGCTGTGATGGAGGGAGGGTACCACGGCCGGAGCTTTGTGGGGGGTTTTCGGGAGGCAGGGTCTCTGTAGTCCAAGATGACCTCGAACTCGCAACTATTCTGTCGCGGCCGCCCGAGTGCTGGGATTACAGGCATGGGTCATTGCTGAGCCCATTTAGTTCTGCAAGCCCCAGCTCGACAGCCAAACCCATAGGGTACGGGCAGAGTTAAGTAGGGAAAAGGTGACAGCCCAGACAGGCTTCTGCAGGGCCCTGCAGCAGAGGCCCCTCCCTTTTGGGCAAAGAGACCATTATTGGGACCAGCCAAAGAATGTTTTCCAGCCTGGCTTTAATTGGGCAGAGGAAACAAGACGAAGGAAAAAGAGGCCTCCAAGATGGTTTAGATTTTCAAAGGGAGGGAGAGGACAGCCCGGATTCTGTGGAAAGGCAAATTTGCAGGCCCAATCAGGAGCCATCTGCAACACACCCAACCTTCACACCTCTTCCCGGCTGGCCTGCACACTCCCAAGGGGAACAAAACCCAGCCCAACACTTCCGATGGTACAGGTGGACCAGCCAGTGACTGCTGGAGGAGCCCCGACCCGGGGAATCTGAACTCTCTTCCCCAGGAAGACTTCTGCCTAAGACCTGGGACAGTGGTGTGCCTGCATCAGAGAGGGTGACCAGACTGTGACGTGGGGAGCAACGGCAGAATGGTGCCAGCACCCACCGCCACCCGGATGGTCAGAGACTGCTCACCTCTGTGGCACAGGCAGGGTTGGGGAAGGCAAAGCCAAAGCCCCTCCTGACCTCTGTAAAGCCGGGCTGAGCAGGGAGAATGGGGAGCCACTGTACATGCACAGGGCTTAGGCAGGCCGCAACTCTAGCACAAAAGATGCTCTGGCTTATTTTATTGTCATTTAAAACCAACTTTTAAACCGCAATTATCTCTGGGGGAAAAAAAAAAAGCAAAAACAGAACCAAGGAACTGGGACCATTTTAGTCCTGAGGAACTTGCCTCTGGGACTTCCCCAACTCTGGCCCAGCCCGAGGCACCACCTCGGGCCACCCTGAGCCTCTGGGCAAAGGACTATGCTGGGGCCTCCTTTTCAGGCTTCTCCCCAAGGGCTGTGACACCTGCCAGGTGGCCAACCACTGTGTCAGGTCAGATGCCTGGTTCAACTGGTGTGAGGGTGACCATGAGGCATCCATGCAGAGCGAATCAAGACAGCAGGAGGTACACTGTGCACTGCCCCATCCCAGTCGCCGGGCCCAGCAGCCGCTCTGCCATGCAGGTCTCTGCTCAAATGGTCTTCTGGACTGGGGATGCTGGCCAACCACAGTCTTCAAGACCCCAAGTGTGAGAAGGAGCAGCAGGACAGGAAGGGTGGGAGGGGGCTGCTCCCAGGAAGCAGCTCCTACTTCCCACTGGGCAAGCCTGGGAAGAAGAGGGTGTTCCCTGCACATCCCTTGCCCCATTATCCTCTGACGTATCAGGGAGGAGGGCAGTCCAGCTGGGGGTGGGACAGGGACCTGGGGCCTCAGTCACTGTCAGAACCCACTGCAGAAGACCCTTTCCGTTTCCGTTTGGTGGGCTTCGGTTTTGTGTCTTCTTCCTCCTGGAAGAGGTGGAGGGGAGGAAGGGGAGGATCACTAGCCTGGACAGCAGCTGGCACCCCTCCACCTGGATGGGCTGCTCCCTCCCTTGCCCGGTGCTGCCCAGGGCTTACTGAGGCGCTGCTGGAGCCTGACTCCTCCTCAGTATTGGGGGGCTGGGCGGCATTCTTCCGACTCCGCGGGCTGGAGAGAGCTGCCTTCCTCCGGCTCTTGGGTGGCTTAGTGGAAGAGTCCTCATACTCTTCAGCCAGGGAGAAGAGATCACTGAACCTACAGGCAAGAACAAGCTCTGAGCGCTGGCATCCTAGCCATGCTACCTCCCTCCTGTCCCTCTGCTGTCCTTGTCAACCTATTATGTTTGTGGCCCCAGCAGGCTTCCACTCCCCTAGGCCTTCTCCCCACCATTTCTCAAGGCCAAAGACAAAAGGAGCCTCACTTCATCTTGTGGGCTTCGTCACAGCTGGCCTGGACGTGCTGCAGGGCCTGGAGGATTGGGGTCTGGCTAAAAACTGGAGGGGACAGGAAGGAGAGAGAGCAGGCAAGAAAGAACAGTGAGATATCTGGGAGCCCGTGGGAGGTCCCCAAGGTTGTACTCTCCCAAGGGCTTGGGTTGCGGCCCTGGCAGTCCCGCCCCTGGGGCATAAGAGGGGTCAGCACCAGGGCGGCACTCTGAGGCTTGAGGAAGGGCACACATACAGTTCTGCTTGGTGTTGGTCAGGTTGAGGCGTAGGTTGTCCAGGTGCTCCAGGATCTGCTCCAGGGTTAGCTGGGCCAGCTTGCTGCTGGAGCTCCTCAGGCTGCGTGGGGAGGACGAGAGCTCAGTGGGCAGGGCTCCCCAGGTGCGAGACACCGTCCCATCTGCCAGGGCAGAGGCACCCTGTGCCAGGGGACAGGGGTGGGAATGGGTGGCCTACACGGAGTGTGAAGCTATAGGGCACTAGGAGTAAGGTGGCAGCAGAGCCACTGAGGTCCTGCGTGGCACATGGCTTGAGAACACTAGATGTCACCCACAGACCAGGCCAGGACAGCACTGAGAACCCCATCCCTGGGCAGGGATTGCTGCAGACAGCCCTGGAAACAGTCTGTTGACAGTGGACAGGAGCCAAGCACTGCGACCTACCTCTGCCTCTTCCGAGGGAGGCTGTTGTTCTTGATGAGCAGGGACTTGATGTGCTCGGCCAGCAGCTCGTCATGCTTCATGCACCAGTGCCGCAGGATGCTGGTGGTGAACTGGTCATCGGGGTGGCAGGGCCGGCTCAGCACCATCTTCACCATCTCCTCGCTGGGCCTGGGGGCGAGATGAGCACTGTGCAGAGCCAGCCCTCCTCAGGAGCTGCTGGGTCGCTCTTACTTTCCCAACCCCAGCCTCCAGCCTGCTTAAGTCCTCCTGTGGCTTTCCAGTTTCATATCCTTCTCCCCTTTCCCTTTAGGGAAGAAATGCCTGGTTTCATCCTCTGTGGAAGCCTGGAGAGGAGAAGTGAGATTATTTCATCTGTGTAGTGGTAAAAGCTATGCATGTGTGTTGGGGAGGCCTGCCAGATGCCCTAGCCTCCCTCAGAGCCTGTGGCATGTGGGTGCTCTTCACCCTGCCGCTCAGCCATGAGCCACTCTGCTATCTGACCTGAGGGGGCAGCAAAGAGAGGGCTGTGAAGCCACCGCTCCCACACAGCCCTCTAACTCCCCACTTTCTCTAGGACACTGTACTAGTATCTCAGGAAAGGAAGAAGAAAAGAGTTGTAGAAGACAGGAGGTAGGAAGGAAAAGATACAGAGCTGTTGCCTCATTTACCTGGGGAGCTGCTAAGGTGCCCACAATGGAGAGAGGGCCATTGCCTCTCATCCACCGTGCCCCATCCCTGGCAGGGAGCCCATGGGCGCAGCTGCTGCTTGGGGTGGGCTGAGGGAGGCACAGGCGTGACCTCTGCATGCTGACCCGTCCTCCTCTTGGACCACCCTGTGGTGTGCAGGAGTGTGGGGGAAGGGAGCAGGGGCCGCCAGGATTACAACTGCTGTGGCAGCAAGAAATAGGGATGTCCGGTCCACACTTCCTCACTTCTGTGGGCAGCTCCTGGTGGGCAGGGGGGCAAGAGGAAGCCCAGATCCCAGGACAGCTGCCTGATTCTCACTCACACTGGGAGGGCAGGATAAGCAGACATCACCAACAGGAAAAAGTAGAGGGCAGAAGGAACAGGGCAGAAGTGCCTTACAACACTTGGTAAGCTGGCACTGACAACTAAGGAGCCTGGGGGCAGAACTCACTTCTCTCTTCGGAGCTGAAGCAGCAGGCAAGACAGGGCCTCTGGGTGCTCTGTGGGGGAAAGAGAGGCTGTTCAGGGGGACTCATCATTCCAAGAGGGAATCTAGGCACCTCTCCCGTCCCCCAGCCAACCACCGAGAGAGTGAGCACAGCCTTAGACCAAGAGCCAGGACGCATCTGCACCTGAGCCCCCGCCCAGTGCTCAGCTCAGTGTGGCCTTGCAAGCTTCACCGTGAGCCTGCTCTCTACGCCATGGTACTGGGGAGCAGGGCACTGCCGCTGCCTCACACTAGAAGCCTCAGCTCTGCCCTAGCTGGACCCAGATGTCCATTCCCCCACACTCCCACACTGTAGCCCTACTCACCCTTGTACTTAAGGTGCTGCAGGATGGGGATTATCGTCTCTAGGGGGATGTTGTGGGCCAGGAAGAGCTGCCAGGCACAATACTGCTCAAAGGTTTCCCAGTCCAGACTCTGGACTGAAGGAGACAGAAGAAGCCCGTCATTCTCTCTCTCATGCACACACCCTACCCCAACACAACACGAATCCACTCAGGACCCCCCCCCCCCTTTTAGGCCCTTTTCTTCTCCATATGCACTTAGTCTTCACGGGGCTTTCATGTTCCCATCAGCCCTGTGGTAGGAGGGACAAGGTCAAACCTTTCCATTTCCCAGAAAGATGGAGAACTGGCCTATGACCATACAGCAGGGTAGACAGCATTCTACTCCTTCACTTCCTAGCCCACAACTACCTCTCCCAGTACTGGAAAAAAGGCCACACCCCTCTCTTCTCCCTAGGAGGTCTAGCAACTCACTGAGTATGTTGAGGACTGAGTCCTTCCGAAACATGACCAGGTTCCCCATCATCACGTGGCAGACCAACTCCTGGAGCTACAGAGAGGCAGGTGAAGAGCAGACTTGTTAGTGCTAAAAGGGGCCAGAGGCCAGCGCAGAGGGAAGGCTCAGCACTGAACAAAGGCACCAGTTTCTGAGGGATAAAGGGTGCTGGTCAAATACTAGCAATAGACCTAACTGGGAATCAGCCTATGTGGGCCAGAACAGTTACGCCAAACTGCCAACATCTGACAGAAGGTGCCTGAGCCTAGGAGCAGGAGGTCCTGGGAGGCTGGGTTCTGAATTAGGATGGGAAAGGCAAAGGCAAAAAAAAGTTCCCACTCTCGTAAGTGGGGACTGAGTAGATGGGAGAAGAAATGGGACCCAGTCCAGGACTGAATTGGACTCCAGCAAAACTGCAATCTTTTTTTTTGTGTGTGTGTGGAACTGGGGATAGAACTCAGGACCCTGTGCTTGCCAGGCAAGTGCTTATTCTACTGCGCTATCTCCCCAGCCCCTAAAGCTGTAATATTTTAAGGTCTACATGGTACAAAGGTCAAGTGGAAATGACTCAACAGTTTAACTCTGAGAGCCCAAGGGAAGGGCAGCTGAGATCTAAACACCAGCCACTGCAGCTATCCCTGTGGAAGCAGGAGTGTCCAAAGAATATGGAAGCCAACGAGATAGCTCAGAGGACTAAATGCCTGCTTAGGCAAGCACAGGGACTGGGTGTTCAATCCCTGGTACTTCATGCTGCATGTAGGCGTGCGTGCTGAGCCCATGACTGAGTCCAGACGTGGTGGTACACACCTGTAATCCCAGCGCTGGGGCTGAGGCTAGAGGATTGTTGTGAGTTTGAGATCAATCTGGGCTATAAAGCAAGACCTTGTTTCAAAATAAAAAGCTAAAACAAAGAATATGGAGGACAAAGGAAACTTGATAACACTGAGCTGACCTGCCTATTTCCACGGGCTCACTTTTCCTTCCTGCCCCCACGGCCTATAAAGTACATCTAACTGGAGCCAGGAAGCAGGGATCTGTGGAGTCTGCTCCAGTCCGCAGGCCTGAGAGAAAAAAGAAGCCCCAAATTCCCTAGTCTGGTCTTCAAGTGTCCAGGTGACAAAGCTCTACATTCACCTGCGCAGAGTCAATAACAGCCACGATCATGTTCAGCAGCTCCCCACTCCTCAGGGTCTCATCTGGAAACTAGACAGAGAAGGAGGGAAAGAAATCAGGGCAGGAGTCAGGGCTGACCATCAGCTTGCACTGCTAAACCACTACCACAAGCTCAGGGTCTGGCTGCACCAGCAGGAGGGGCCTTGATGTAAATCCCTCAACAGATTCAGCAGCTGTGAAGCTGGAAATCCCACCCTGGAGGCCACACAATGGTGTGTGTAGGCGTGGCGCTTCCAGAGTGAGAGCCGGAATTGACAGTACTGGATGAGACTGGTTCTCTGTGGGAGTGGCATTAAAACCTTCCATCCCTGGCAGCAAGGAACCCAAGCTGTGGAGTATTTCAGCCCAAGAAAAGGTGTAGAGAGTGTCTGGGGTGTGGGACAGCTGCACCTTCCTCCCTCCAGCACTTGGCTGAGATCGAAGTTATCTAGTCAGAGCCACACCCTGACCCTCATTTCACTCTTCCTGGGAACTTGTACAGAGGAAGGAGGGCAGATATCTCTCCTCTGTTCCAGTTCCAGGAGAAAACAGCAAATAAACGAAAGGGAGTCTCCACCACAGGAGGCTTGGTCTTTGGGAACAATGTGAGGATCCAGCAGAGTGCTAAGAAGCCAACAGGGGCTGAGCTGTTATGAACGTGGACTTGGTCTGGGGCTCTGTCCTGGGCCCAGCTGAAGGGGCCAAAGCTGAGTACACAGATCTCGGTCCTAACTTACACAGTGAAGCCAAAGAATAGGAATTTTGGGAATTTTACAAACTTTTAACCTTTAAAATAAGGGGTAGAATGCTAGGCATGGTGGCACATTCCTGGAATCCCATCTCAGCTTTCTGGAGGATGAGGCAGGAGGATTCCAAGCTTAAACCCACCCTGAGCAACTTAATAACTTAGCAAGACTCTGTTCCAATAAATAGAATGAACAGAAAGGACCAGGGTAAAGTCCTTAATTCAAGCCACAGGACCAGGGGAAAAGAATGCTCTAAGAAACAAACAGCTGTGGTATGGCAGGCAGTGGCTGCGCTGTGTAGAGGCAGCACCAACCTCAGTGTAGATGGAGGGTGTGAGGTGGCACAGCAGCCGTACGTCGTCCTCCTGGCAGGCCTTCATGTCCATCATCAGGCAGGTGTGCAGGTCCCCCAGCTGGGTGGCCTGGGCGAATGACTCATACAGGTTCATCTTCCCTGCGGCAGCTTTGCTGCAAGACCAGGTGGGTCTGAGCCAGCAGCTTGAATGCAGCGCCAGTGCTGCAATGGGGCCCGCACGGCTCCTCCTGTGGACAGCCTTCCTCTGCCTGCACTTGTTCCAGGGCCCTTTCCTCCCACAAGTGCTCCAGGGCCCAGGACCCAGAAGGCACCCTTCTCCCCATCCCTCCCCATCCCTCCCCAGAGCTCCAGCAGAGCGCCAACAGCAATCACTGAGGTGCAGATTGGGAGAGAAAACGGAGATAGTTCAGGAGAATAAGCGCTTGTGTGGCAAGTGCAAGGTCCTGAGCTCAATCCCCGATACCGCAAAGAAGAACAGGAGAAGGGGGCTCAGGGAAGGCTATAGAAAGCCTGGCCTTGCGCTGCTGGGCTCCAGCCAGGAGAGCAACCTGTCACACACACTCCACACGAACTCAAATGGCTCACAGGCAGAAATGTAAACACCAAAGCCATACAATTCTTAGAAGAAAACACGGGAGCAACTCTTAATAGCAAAAGCACAAATAATAATTGGAAAAACAATTTAAAAAAAAATTTTTTTTTTTTTTCTTTTTGCAGTACCAGGAATTTAACTCAGGACCTGTCGCTTGCCAAGCAAGTGCCTATTCCACTGAGCTATCTCCCTGCCCAAAGAGATTTTTCTTTTATAAATAAGGGAATAAGCGCTTCCCTGGCAAGCGCAAGGACCTGAGTTCAATCCCTGGTTCCGCAAAAAAAAAAAAAAAAAAAAAAAAAAAAAAAAAATTTATTTGATACAGGGTCTCGCTACACAGCTCAGACTCATAGTGCTCCTCCTGTCTCAGCCTCCCCAGTACTGGGATTACAGGCATGCTCCACCATGCCTGGTTTTGGTGGCCAGCACAGTGTGCCTGGGATTCCAGGGCTGGCACTGCATGAGGTACCAGGGATCAAAGCTGGGTCCTTGTGCTTGTCAGGCAGGCACTTAGACCATTGAGCTACCAACCCAGTCCAAAAAACACATAAATTTGATTTCATAAAGCTGGGTGTGGTGCACATCTGCAATCCTAGCACCTGCTAGTCTGAGGCAGAAGGATCAAAGTTTGAGCTGCTCAGCCTGGGCAACGTAGTGACTTAGACCTGTCTCAAAAGAACAAAGTAAATAAAAGGCTTAGGATGTACCTCAGTGCTAAGGCCCTGGGTTCAATCCCCAGTACGTGTATACACAAACATACACACACATGCACACGCATGTGCATATGTGTGTGCACTATAGCTTTAATGAACAGCATCAAAATAGTGCTAAGTCAGGCTGGATGTGACTCAGCCATGGTGTCTATGCTTAGCATGTCCAAGGCCTCAGCTTCAATCTCCACGAGGGTTTCTTTTGAGGTGGAGCGCTTTAAATTAGACAGCAGAGCTTGGTGGCATAAGTGCCCTGCCTGGTAAGTGCAAGGTCCTGAGTTTGATCCCTGGTGCCAAAACAGAAATAAAAACAAAACAAAACCAAGTGCTGGGATTATAGATATGTGTCACCTCACCTGGCAGAACTGTACAATTTAAAAGGTCAATGTTATGAATTATACCTCAACAAAGTTGTAAGTTTAAAAAAAACAAACAAACAAAAAAAAAAACCACTTGCTGGGCTTATTTATGCGAGGCAGGAGGACTTCAACTGCAAGCCCAGCCTGGACAGTCTACTGACTATCTCAAAGAAGGGGGTTGCGTGGTGGTGACTCGTGAATGTAGTTCAGTGAAAAGGCCTTGGGTTCGATCCACAGTATCATATCAGACTGACAGACAGATACCTAGCATCCTCAAAATCCTGGGTTCAATCCCTAGCATCCAAACACATGGAGGACACCCAAAGGTGGGAGTCTGTGTGCAAGAGGGGAGGCTGGCTCTCCAGGGTGCTTCCTGATACCTGGTGAGCCATGACATGGGCTCCTTACCTACCTGGCTCTCAGATAGTACAGCAGGTGATAGCCAATCTTGGGCTGCTTCTGGTACAGCTCAGAGAGAAGGTCCAGAAGCAGAGAGAAGCTACTGTTGTCTTCCTGCATCTGACACAAGTTCCTGGAAGGGTAGGGAGAGGTGTCAACCATGGCAGGCTCTCTGGACACTGTACACTTGCCCTCTTCTATAAAAAGGGAGCCCCGTGACCCAGGACAGGGAGTTAGCAGGCTGTTAGGGCGGATGGATCACAGCAGTCTCTCTCACTGCTGGGTGCTTACCGAAATATGAGGTAGAGAGGCTTCCCTACAGACTCTTCCAGGGACCTGCAAATGGACAGTCACACATGAGAGTCCATGTGAGGGGACAGTGGCTCCAGGAGGATAACTGGGGCAGCAGTGAGGGAGGGAAGTTTGGGGCATGTTGCCCACCACTGTTTTTAAACTCAGAGGGCAAAGATGCTGCTATGCCAGAGAAAACAGGTTCCTGACATGGAAGCATGATCAGAGTGTCCTTCCGTGTGAAGGTGTGACTCCAGCCCTGCAGGAGAGATCAGGCCAGCACTCAATCCCATCCCAAGCAAGGCTGGAATGCTAGTCCACCACCCTAGTAGAGGATTCAGCAGACAAAAATAAACCCTGTTTTGATGAATCAGAATGTGTGAAAAAGAAACACCAAGTGAACAGACTCTCTTTCCTCAAATCCATAGCCAAGTGCCTCTTGGACTCAAGCTACACCAGAACGCTCCTGCTGCTAGGCCCAGGGTCAGGGAAGATGAGCCTTACTCCTCGGTAACCTCCTCAGGCAGCACCTCTCCACGGAAGTGGGCCTTGAAGAGCTCCTGCAGACAGGAAGCCAGGACAGACAGCTGCTCGGAGTCAAAGTCTTCCTGGTGGTGAGGAGAGAGGAGAAGGGCAGATCACGACCCAAGCCCAAGCCAGAACCCCGGAGCTTATCTATTCTATCTGCTCCCACTGCCAGAACCCCAGAGCTTATCTATTTTATCTCGGATCAGCAAGTACCGGTCTCCCATCAGAGGGACTCATCTGGGAGAGGGAAAGGAGGCAGTCACACTCCAGGTGACATGCGCACAGGGAGCCAGCTCTAACTGGGCAGCCTGGGCTGCTTCCTCTTTGAAGGACTGGGTTCCTCCTCACCTCCAGGACCTGGTCCACGATTTCCTGCATGACCTCACACTGGGCCTCCGTATCACTGCAGTACAGAAGCAAGAGGAAATCCCAGGGACATAAATGACAGCACAGGGCAGGACAAACATCTCGCACAGTGTGCACCAACACACTCACATGCACAGACAAAACAAAGGAGCTCTATATAAAGCCCCAGTGGGTGGGGGAGGCTACAGGGAAGAAATCTGCTGCTCTCTGGGGAGAGGTTTAAGAATAGGGAAATCCCCATCCATTTTTTATCTCCAGTGTCTAGGGGTGGGAACCCGAGTGGTTAGGGAAAAGGGTTCCCCCACTCCCAGCCCACAGCCCCCAAATACCCCTCCAGCCCATCTCCCTCCAAGCCGTAACCCTGCAACACCCTCTGGGCACCAGGGAGAGCCTGGGCTGGACCTCCCAAGGTGGGGAGCAGGGTCTGCACGCACCTCCCCTTCTGGAGCTGGAGAACTTTGTCCCTTAGGGACTCATCCAACTGGTCAAGGTAAGGGGTGATATCGACTGGCTCTTCCACAACTGTCTCCTTGATGGGGTGGAAGCGAAACTCTCTCTTCTTTCCTAAAGGGAGTGATGAGGAAAGCAGTCAGTCTGCCTGGACCCAGCCAACCCAGATATTGCTGTCTAAAACACTGTCCCCTCTTCACAGCCTTCAGCAGGTACTGACCTACTCAGCGCTGTGTGAGCATCTGTGTATGCACAGGCCCTCGCTCTTCCCCACCAAAGGCAGGAACCACTGTCTTCACTGTCTTCCCTTCAGTTTTTTTTTTTTTTTTTTCAGAACTAGGGATTGAACTCGGGCCCTTGCGCTTGCCAGGGAAGCGCTTATTCTACTGAGCCATCTCTGCGGCCCTCTTGCCTTCAGTATTAAGTACACAGCCTTGCACCCTTGAGTCTCACCCAGTAGCCCTGTTAACAAAACTAGCTCACAAGGACATGACTGCTCCCATGAACCAGTCCTCCTGGTGGCCCTGGGCCATCCCTTCTGCTGGCCTCACCTTTGCTGTTGAGATCCTCCTCATCGTCACTGAAAGCTGCCTCTGCGTTGTCATAGCAACTCTCTTCCTTATCAGACATGTGGTTGTCCATCTCCATGGAAACTGGCTCCTCAATTTTGACTTGGAGTAAAGAGAGGGAGGAACTGATTGCCTCCTGTGCCCTGTCTGCCCCATGCTGCTGGGGAGACCAGAGAGCAAGCAGGAGAGCACGGAACACATGAGGTAAAGCAGGACAGACCTCATCCTCACAGCTATCCATGACACATGGGAAGTTACCAGGCATCATAGGAAGAGCATAGATCCCAAGTCCTCCTTGCTTAGCCCGGGATGAATGAGTAGCCTAAGACTATGAATCATCTCTCATGCTCTTTAATTTAAAACCAATTTGTAAAGTAGTGCTTGGCTTAAGCTCTCATCCCAAAACAAAACAGCAGGGACTGGAGGATGTCAGGGAGATGGTGGTCTAGAATCAGGAGCAAGACGTGAGTACCAGTGTGACAACTTCTCATCAGGAGCCAAGGTCAAGTCTTCGAGACAAAGAGGCTTTGGGCAAACTTCACGTGTGATAAATTACCATGCCTTAAGAGCTTCTTTACTGAGAAGTTAGTATGTGAAAAAAATACATGGACAAGAAAGATGAGTGAAAAGACAAGATTACACAAAGAGAGGGAACCCAGGAAGACAGCACAAAAGTGAATAAAAACAGCCGGGTGTGGTGGCGCATGCCTATAATCCAGCATTCAGGAGGCTGAGGCAGGAGGACTGCTGAATTCGAGGGAACCTTCAGCTACAAAACAATCCTAAATTACAGAGCAAGACTGTCTCAAGAACCAAAACAAAAAACAAACAAAACAAAATTTTTTTTAAAGTAAAAAATAGAAATTCCCAGGGGCAACACCTTGAACAGGGCTTCATCCCTGTTCTGACACAATGACAGAGTGGCAGGGCTGCCATACCTTCCACAGGTGGGGAGGGTGAGCTGCAGAACTCAGGAAATTTCTCTCTCAGCATGGCCCGAAGTTCTTTATCCAATTTAGGGTTGTCAAATAAGGGAGCCAGGTGCCTAAGGGGTAAATACACATGAAGGTCAGCATCAGAGGTCCTTACTCCTAAATGAACATGAAAATAACAGGTAGGTCTAAGCTCTTTCGGTGTAACTGGGTCACCCTCAGATCCTTCAAAGGAGTCGACGGGGAACAGGAAGGCATCTGAAGCCTTTACAATCTAGGCATGAGGGAAAGTCCTCTAAGAGTGTGGAGGACATATGCCCAGGTGCAGAGGTACAGTTGCTGCTTTTCACAGCTGTGGAGAGAAGGGTCAGCAGCGGACGGCAATGTCTGCAGGTCCTAAGACAACTTCGAGCACCCCCCACCTCCCCACACATGAACTCCTTACGCCAAGACCCGTTTCTCCACAATGTGGTTGAGGGAGGAAAAGACACCCTGCCGCACGTGGCCTTCCAATGGAGGGTAGAAGTTAGGAATGATCTGGAAGGGAAGAAGCAGAGAGAATAAGCACAGAACTCTCCATCCAGAGCATTCTGCCATACCAGATCTAAAAGGCTGCTTTGGTCAGGGACACTGAGGACTGGAGTGCTCCTGACCATTTCCGGGTAGGTCCTGGCCACTCCTCTAGGAGCCAGAGTCCTCCTCAAATCGTGTCATCCTGTGGCTGAGAAATGCCATGGACACAAGGACAGTTCAATTCAAGGCAGTGAGGACATGACAGGAATGTATTGGCTAACTTGGGGAGTGGGACTCCTGACAACTTCTGCTCCCAGACAAGGCACATGGGGTCCGTCTGAGGGAGACAGCTAACTGCCCATCCAGGAATGGAGGAGAGCCTGGGGCGCTTACTCGGCACATGAAGTCCAGGAGTGTGGCAGTGATGGCTGGGTGGGGCTTCATAGAGTGATGCATCACCAGGATAGCTGGCTCTAGAGGGTGTGGAATTAAAGGGTTCCCTCATCAGACTCCTGTTCCCACCTCCACAGAAGGGGATGTCAGCATACACAAACGCCTCTACCCCAATGCCCACTGAGAAGATCCAAGAGCAGACAGCCCCCCCAACCACTCTCAGCCCCCCACCCCCCAGTACTGAGCTTGGAGAAGGGAGTAGGAGAGGAAAAGCTGATGTGGCACAGCTTTCTCCTCTGCCTATGCCCTTGCCACTAAGCTCAAGCACAAGGCTGTGGGAAGGGGTGGAGCCACTGCTTGGCCTCATCAAAGCATTCTTCCTTCTAGGTCAAGGCAGAACTGATGAGGAACAACGGAACTGCTCTCAGATAAGCGACTTCCACTCTAGGCTGCCTGAGATTTATGACTGCTCACTAGGACAGGCAGTGGGGGACTGAAGCGGGGTGGAGTGGCTTGGTCTCCATCACATACCTATGTTCATAATGCTATCCTTGTCTGGACTAAAGAACAGCCAGTCGTAAAACAAAGCCAGCTTGGCATTAGAAGCAGCAACATTGGACTAGAAAAGAGGGGGGGAAAAGGCTAATTTCATTAAGCAATTCTCATCCCTTCCCTTCAGAGGCCCAGGGCAGACTCCAGGGCCCACTTGCCCACTCCATATATGAAATTCAATTTCCTGAGAAACTGGGTGGAGCCCCACACAGTGCGCAACACTTGAGTCTGTGTTACATGAGCACCCCATGGTCTTGCCTCTTCGCACACCTAGTAGACACATCCTCGACCCACAGGAGAACACAGGGATGTGGGAGGCCACCGATCACCCTGAATTGAGGCAACCTGTAGGCAAGCCTGGGGCTGCACTGGAAGGGTTTCCCAGGCACAGTCCTGAGCAGCCTGTTTATATATCCAAATCAGCACATCCCCAGGACCTGGTCAGATAGGAGAGGAGGACCCTGCCTGAAAAGGACAGGGGTAGCTGGATGCCAGAAAAGAGACTCCCAGGACAGGGAGAAATGTGCTAAAAAGAAAACAGGTTCTTCATGTGTTCCCTACATTTGGTGATGGGAAGTATCCAAAACTAACGCTGAAAGGCATAGAGGTGAAGATCTAAAAAGAATGAGAGCAAAAAATAAAATAAAAAAGAATACAAGCCCCAAATCTGAGTGAGAATCACAGGAATAACTATAGGTGGTTTCTATATGCTAAAAGGAAAAAGGCAGGAATACCTCAAAAAGCCAAGCTTTTCTGGTTATTCAGTCTCAAGCCAGATGAGAAATAGTGAGTGTAAGTAAGACTCAAGAGGACTGCAATAAAGAAGGCCCGTGGGGGTCAGATAACCCTGGAGAACCAGGAAGAAGCAAGACTGGGGCACAGGAGCCCTACACTGCCTTTAGCCCACAGCCCAACCCCTTACCGTGCATGTTGTCAAGAGCCAGCCAATGATGGCCCATCGAGGCAGTATGTCCGAACTCAGCACTTCATTAGAGGGGTGAACTACCCCACAGATGTAGCGAATGAGGTCACAACGCAAAGACTGACTGTCTGGGGTTGACAGATATTGGCGCTGGAACCAATCTTGGTACCGCTTTTGTTGACCAAACCGTACCTGGGGAAAGGGGATGTTGGAAAAAGAAATTTGGGAGGGCAAGATCCTTGAAGAAAGGAAAATGAGTAGCATTCACCTCTGGGTTGGACCTAGACCTCACTGTCTTCCCACATTTTTGTTTTCTTCAGAAAGGGACTATGTAGTACAGGCTGGACCCATGTAGCTCAGGGTTGACCTCTAACTTGCAGCAATCATCCTCCTCAACCTTGTGAGTGCTGGGATTATATCGCCATCATGCCTGGCTCTTCCAGTATCTTACTCATTAGTTCACACTGTCTTTCACATATTCTCTTTAGGGGACCATCCTGATTTTTAAAAATTCTCAGCCTTTTTTTTTATATTTTAGGACAGGGTTGACTGCGTCTACAAGGTCTACAGGGTCTCACTGCATAGATCGGACTCACAATGATCCTGTTTACAGCCTCCCAAGTGCTGGGATTACAGGCGCGCACCACCATGCCCAGTCTCAAAACGCTCAGTCTAACACACCTTGCGCATCAGTGGTGCACTGACCCGATATCACAATCACCCACAAGTGCAGGTCACTTTTGGCGCCTTACATTTTTTAAAAAAAATTATGTATTTGGTACAGGGTGTCACTATGCAGCTTGGACTTGTAGTGATCCTCCTGTTTTCAGCCTCCCTGGTGCTGGGCTTACAGGCGTGTGCCACCACACCTGGTCTCAGCAGCTGCTCTGCAGCATGTGTTGCCAGGGATCAAATTTTTTTTTTAAAGAGAGAGAAAAAAAATTCAAAACAAGATAATTGTTATTTTTTAAATTACTCAGAATAAAAACTATAGGCATTTAATTGCCCAAACATTTTAGCACAAAACTTTGTTTTTATTTTATTTTATTGGTGGAACTGAGGATTGAACTCAGGCCCTCTACTGAGCTATCTCCCTGATCTCCCTGGCCCAAACCTTTGATTTCCATGTTTATTACAAAGGCAAATGGTGATTCTTTT